CCTCTCTCCACTAACATTGTTTTCTAAAGTAATCTCAAGTTAATAAAAGATTATTGAGGCAAAAAGGAAAAAAAACACAAAAAAATGAAAAATTAAATGAGATTTATAAAATTCCATAGTTAAGATCTAACATACTATATTTCTTAGAGAGAATAAATGATCCTTGAAAAATAAATTCTAATTCTAGTATTTGATATTTTCTCAAATCCTAAATCAGAAAGTATTAGAATCCTCTGAATAAACACTCCACATGTTTATTAAAACGAAAATACCCTACTCTAATAAGGGAATGGGCTGTGTACTTCAGCAACTTATCTCTGTGTTGAGTGATTCAAAAGTACTATAGATTTAAAAAAAAAAAACTAAATCCCTTAAAATTTTATAATACAGACAGGCAGCCTAATCACTCTCAGTGACTAGGTACTAATTACATAAAACAAATTCAATAAAATAATAAAAGACTATTTCAGTGACTGTTTTTTCCTTCTGTTTTGCTTTTTCTTGTGGGGGTGGGTGCACACCCAAAGTGGCTACATAAATTAGCCAAGAGCTTGTTTCTGTCCACAAAGCAACTGAATCCTATTTGGAAGTATTTCTTTTCATCAGATTTCATGGCAAACACTACCATAACTTGAACTCAATACTGAAATTTAAAAGGAGTTTTCTCCCAGATTTTCCTTATGCTTGACCCAATCTATAAGAACACAATCAAAGTAGCCACTTGACCCAAATGACCTGTTCTTCTAAAATTTTTTTTTTTAATTAACACAGAATTTTGTTTTGTTTTGTTTTGTTTTTGTTTTGTTTTTGTTTTTGAGACAGTCTTGCTCTGTTGCCCAGGCTGGAGTGCAGTGGCACGATCTCAGCTCACTCCAAGCTCCACCTCCCGGGTTGACGCCATTCTCCTGCCTCAGCCTCCCAAGTAGCTGGGACTACAGGTGCCCACCACCACACCCAGTTAATTTTTTGTATTTTTAGTAGAGATGGGGTTTCACCATGTTAGCCAGGATAGTCTCGATCTCCTGACCTCGTGATCTGCCGGCCTCGGCCACCCAAAGTGCTGGGATACAGGCGTGAGCCACCGTGCCCAGCCAAAAATTAACACAGAATTAACTGTACCTCCAACTTTCTTACTATATGCACCAAAAGTTATAATTTTTCAATTACTTAATGTTTACATCAAATCATTTGATTATACATGGAAACAACTAGGTCACTATTATTCAGCATGACAAGGAAGAAACCAGAGTAAAACTAAACAAAGATTCTACATCTACACTGAAGGAGTGCTTGCTGGGTTTAAAAAAAAAAAAACAGAAAAATGGGAATAGGTCAGGGGGAGATAAAGTGTGGAACCAGAGACCGGGGTTCTAACCCCTGCTCTGCCACAAACTAGCATCAAATCATTTAGAATGCTAAGCCTTCATTCCCGATATGCTAAATAAATTTAAAAAAAGGTAGTAATAATGCCTGTTTCAGAAGTGGGAGTGGAGATTAATGACAACTGTAAACTGTCTGACTAGCAGAGTGTATCTTCTCAATAAACATTAATTTCCTTTCTTTGTCCCCAGTCTTCTGCATATAGTCACTGAACGAAATACAAACCACTAGAACATATTCGACAATCTATCAAAGAGGTTTTGTTGTGTTTTTATTAACCCTAGTGTGGCTAGGCATACTTGATAATCCATTAGTTTTTATTGAACATTAGACAGTCATCTTAAACAGAATTCAAAACTCTGTACACAGAAGCTGCATGGCAAAGAAAACTGTAGTAAGGGTCTTTTGAAAAAACTGCTTTAGGCCGGGCGCGGTGGCTCAAGCCTGTAATCCCAGCACTTTGGGAGGCCGAGACGGGCGGATCACAAGGTCAGGAGATCAAAACCATCCTGGCTAACACGGTGAAACCCCGTCTCTACTAAAAATACAAAAAACTAGCCGGGCGAGGTGCCGGGCGCCTGTAGTCCCAGCTACTCGGGAGGCTGAGGCAGGAGAATGGCGTGAACCCGGGAGGCGGAGCTTGCAGTGAGCTGAGATCCGGCCACTGCACTCCAGCCTGGGCCACAGAGCGAGACTCCATCTCAAAAAAAAAAAAAAAAAAGAAAAAACTGCTTTAAAAAATAATTATCTGTAATACTGTCACAGCATACACGGAACAAAAAAAACAAGGTATATCATACCACTCAGAATCCTTCAACGGCTTTCTACCTCTCTAGGATAAAAGCCCAATATCCTTACAGTGCCGACCCATGCCTATCCCCACTCCTTACCACCTAGGCCTTATCTGCTCCAATGATCCCCTGTATATACACATATACACACGTACACACACACACTGCTCCAGCCACACTGGTCTCACTGTTCCTCAAGATTTCTACCATATTTCTGCATGGTTTATTCCCTCATTCCCTAGTCTGCTCAAAATGGTCTCACCGGTGATACAGATATTTAGCAACCCTACTTCCATCAATGCCCTAGCACCCCCAATCCCCTTCCCTAACACTGTTTTCTCCCACAGCACTTAACACCTTCTAACATAGTAAAGAAGAAAACTATATACCATGTTTATTATTTATGTCTCCCTACTAAAAGGTAACCCTCACCAGAGTGAGAATTTTTGTCTCTTCTGTGATGCATACATCCCTCCAGTGCCTAACACTGTGTCTGGCACACAGATGTATAACAATCATTGAAAAGAATTGATACTCTCATTTAATTTACTTGTAGATATGCAAAGAATGTGCAACAAGTTATGAAAAGACAACCTTGAATAGATCTACATCCATTTGAATTTACAAATTCTAGTATTTGACAACATAATCTTAAATTTCAAAGTTCATGTATTTTTAAAGCCATTGAAAACATAGGCATTAACATCACTGATCACCCGTTAATATGAATTTTGTTACTTAATATATTCATTAACAACATGTGGTTTCCTCTAAGTGATCGATATGATTTAATTTCAAATGTAATTTTCAGGATTTCATGAGTAAACAGATTTATATATATCACAAATACTGGGGGAAATGGTAGACCAGGAGAAAATAGTTTCAGTTCTGCAACCAACAATCCTGCAAACTTGAACCTCAAAACCTCCTTGATCTTCAGTTTCTTCTTGTGTAAACATGGGGAGGAGTAAATTAGATGATCTCGAAGTCTATGTCAGATCTAAAAATTCTATGATGCTATGAGTCTAGAAAATCATTAGAATCACAAAATGTCTATGCTGGATGAAACTTTAGAAATCATCCAGTCCAATCCTGCCATCTTATAAATAAAACCACCCACACGTTTTGAACACTTTTTAAAAATATGTTCCAAGCTGGGCACGGTGGCTCACACCTGTAATCCTAGCACTTTGGGAGGTCAAGGCAGGTGGCTCACCTTAAGTCGAGTTCGAGACCAGCTTGGTCAACATAGTGAAACCTCGTCTCTACTAAAAATACAAAAATTAACCGGGTATGTTGGCGGACGCCTGCAATCCCAGCTACTTGGGAGGCTTAGGCTGGAGAATCGCTTGAACCCAGAAGGCGCAGGTTGCAGTGAGCCAAGATTGCACCATTGCACTCCAGCCTGGGCAACAGAGCAAAAACTCCATCTCAAAAAAAAAAAAAGTTCCAAAGTAACAGAATATTATCTAGTTTTGAAGTCATTTTCAGGGTGGAGGGAATAAGTTAACAGAACAACTTTTTTACTTATACAAAATATTTCAAATATCCCATCATTTAAGTTTGCTCTAGAACTGACAATAACATACTCTAGAAATGGGCTGCAGCTACAGACACCAAAAAATTCACAGCCCCAAAACTGTATAAAGAAACAATTATATGTAAGATAAGTTTATAATGAAACAACTTCTTAACTATAAAATTCTTACTGCCTAATTTCTATTAGGGCCAGTGGTGAGTCTCTTTCCTTTCTTACTATATTTTTTAAGAAACAAGGTCTGTTAGCCAGGCTGTAGAGGTGCAGTGGCAGGGCTCACAGCAACCTCAATCTCCCAGCTCAAGTAATCCTCCCACCTCATCCTCTGGAGTAGCTGCAACCACAGGCTAGCACCAGTATGCTTGGCTAATATTATTTTCTTTCCCCTTGGGATGGAGTCTCACTATGTTGCCCAGGCTGGTCTCAAACTCCTAGGCTCTCAATTCTCCTGCTTCGGTGACCCAGGGTGCTGGGATTACAGGCATGAGCCACCGTGCCCTGCCTCCATGGTGAGTTTCTAAACCAGAGAATATCACAATTCTCATGACATAAACTGAGTTCAGCCACAGTACATGTTTTTAATTAATATCTTGTCACCAATGGTAGAATTACATGGGTTATAGCTAAGTTTCAAAAGTAGCTAATTTTAATATTAACCAAAAGAATAGCAGCTTACAAGCTGAACTCTCCTATGAACCACTTGAATCCTGAATTCCTGAACAGGTGATGACTCCAGATCTAGGGGATGATGCGGATCTGGAACCATCCTGAAGAGCACACATTTCAGCTGTGGCTGAGTGCTTCCCCGGGAATTAATGTCATTACTTCGAGCTTACTATACTCATCTAAATGCTAAAAGTCTGGAAACTTCAGGAGTAATGTCTGCGACCATGTAAATACTTAAGAAACTAGAAACTGTTTAGACTGCCTGGTGGATCTCTGAACACTGTAATACTAATCCATACATTAACCTGCACTTTACAGGAAAGTTTTCTTACAAATTCAAACTGTAAATTCCTACACAACTTGCCACAGAACATAAATGTTAAATATGTGGCAGACTAAACCATATATCCATACATGACAACAAAATACTGCCAAGCTGGAGGATGGGACTAGAAGTGTCGTTCAGCAAAAATAAGACCAACTAAAAACAAAGACACTGGGGCATTCCCTTAACACAGGCGCGCACACACACCCTCCTCAAAGAGGCCTTTATGTTCCCCATGAGCAAAAGGACAACAATATCATTTTTACTATTCATACAGTAACCTGCACGGAATTCAACTCACGCTCAGACTGTACAATGCCAAACAGCGCTTCTGAAACACGAAGAGCTTCCAGCAGAGTCAGGTACTTAATTACCAAAGTAAACAACTCGACCACAAGGGTCTGCAAGCCAAGGACTTTCTTTTTTTTCCCCCCCCCAAACAAAAAAGGAGAGTAACTTGACAAACTGTTTTTTTAAAAAAAAATCACAAATGGCCCTTAACTACTATAATAAAGCAATTACTCCTCCCACCCCCAAGCAAATAAAATAGGTGCTCGAAAGGGCGCTCGCTAGTCTGTGTTCCCTAATTTTATGAAATGAGAACAGGTTGCACTTCCGTACCCCCTCCCCCAAGCTCAGCAGTCTCCCATGTTTTCAGTAGAGAGGTAAATATAACCTCCACCAACTGGCCGGGGAAACTCTCCTTCTCCAAAAGCATGGGACGCCTCGAGAGGTGATGGAGAAAGGAAAAGGGCTGATACCCCGCCCCAAGCAAAACTGCCTGGGAGACTTGCGGGGTACTGGAGCCGGGAGCGGAGGAGGGAGAGGCGCGCCGGGAAAGTCTTTCCTTCTCCCCGGCCGGGCGAAGAGGGAAGCCCCGGCTTCGGGGCGGGGGGAGGCTACTCACCCGGAACCCCAGACCCCAGTCCCCGGCCAGACACAATGGAGCCGGCAGAGGGGCAGGGGCAGGGCCGTTGCCCCATCCCCTCCCCCCGCCCCAACGCCTCCCCCACCCGTGCCGGGCCCCGAAGAGGGGCACCGGAGCCGCTCCCCGCGCCCCAAACTCCCCGGGGCTCCCGACTAGGCCTGGCTCCGCTCCGCCTCCTCGGCTCTCGCGTAGCGGCGGCGCCCGGGCGGGAAGGGGCGAAGGAGGAAGGGAGAGGCAGTCAGGAGAGCCCCCGCCTGGGAGCGGGACGGAGGCCGCGGGCCGAGGCTCGGGGCTGCAGGGTCACCGCGGGGCGGAGGGCGGCCGGGGCGGGGGTGCGCGGCAGCGCCGGCCCCCAGCCGGCAGGGCGGGCGGGCGGCCGCAGTGCCTCACCATGTTGGTGTCCTCCAGGCCTCTCCCCTCCTCCTCCGGCTCCGCAGCGAATGGACGGCGGCGGCGGCGGCGGCTCCTCTCACGGGCTTGCCGGGCTCCCGCTCATGCGCAGTGCGGGGCGGCCCGGCGCGGCCCGAGGAGGCAGCCCCGGGCCTCGGGGAGGCGGAGGGACTGAGGCGGGCGGAGGGCACCCCGCGCGGGGCTTCCCCCGGGCGCGGGGGTCCCCCGGGGCGGGGGCGGGGGGCGCGGCGGGGGAGGGGCGGGCGACGCAAGCCCTCCGCGCGCCGACATCCTCCTGCCGCGCCGGGCGGTCTCTAGTGGGGGCGCCGGGGGACACCCCACCTCCGTTTCCTACGCGGTTCCTTCCGGACGGTCACGGCCGGGTCTACGCGGGCTGGAAGCGGGGACGAGCGGCGGCCGATAAGTTGAGCAGCTGGGGGCGGCTGAAACGGATGGTAGAGGAGCTTCATCCATCCCAGACCTCCCCTCCCCATCAGTACCAAAAAAAGAGAGAAGATAGTGGAAACACCTACCCCCGCCCCGTGTTTTCTTCTTTTTCCCCCCATCTCAGTATCAGACTTAGATCCGTTCCCTCGCGTGGGCATCCCAGGGGAGACCTTAGTCCAGCCCTGCGGTAGCTGTCACTCCGTTAGTGAGGCCCAGGCTCTCCCCAGACCTGTGTCAGCTGGGAGACAGTGGGGCAGCCCTAGAGTGGGATGGGGTGGGGTGCACTGGGACCCAAGGCCCGGCTGCAGGAGTCCAGATGGCCTGCCTACTGCTAGCTCTCAGTATCCCCTCAGTTCGGCCTGTCCGGGGTAAGTTTCGGGAAGCAACTACACATTTTTTCACTGAGGGTCGAGTCAGGCAGTGCGGACAGTCCAGGTGTGACCTGCCCTGGGCGTTAAGTCGGCCGAGGCCGAGGAGCACTAGGATTCTGAGCTAAGGATCAAGTGGACAAATTCGTGCTGCAAGTGGACAGAAGACTCCTGTGGAGTGAGTGGTCCTTACCCTTCAGAAATGTAGTATCCAATTGGAGAGGTAAGACACATTCACACAGGAAGGAAATAAAACAGCTAAGAAAGCAAACGCACTCAGAAAATCACATCTGAAACTGGACCAAGAGCTTACCTATGTTTCAGAACAAGACCCACCTGAGTAGACCCGTTATCACCATCATCACCAGCACAGGCATTAAAAGACCAGATCAACCCTATAACTAATGAATTTGTTATTATCAAAACAACAGAACTTCTGTAGTAACTCCCAAAGGCCTCCTGAATTTCTGGAGCTAGCTATGTACTGGGAGCTCCCACCGCTGTACCAAGGCAGGTTTCTGGCCGCCACAAACCATTCATCTATTCTTTCCCCCAATATTTAATGGGTGCATGTGAATGTGCCAAGCTCCTTGCTGGGCTCTGAGTAAACAGTCCTGCAGGGACAAGCCAGATCTGCCTCGTGCAGCAAGCCTGAAACTGGACTATGTCCGCGGATATTCTCCATGATTACCTAGCTTTTGACCTAAAGTATTAACATAACACTTAGGGTGTTAATGAAGAGGATTCATGTGTCTCTTGCTCCACTCTGTTCTACTCCATTGAAATAATCGTTTGCGAGTTTTCCTAAGCTCTACCAAGGTACAGGCCTTAGTTATTCTAATTGACGTCTCACCTGCATTTGAACACTTCCTCCTTGAATTTCCTGTTCATTTTCCATGACTCCACCTTCTCCTGCATCTCCTCTTTGCTCTGTGACCACTCTCCTTTGCTGGCTGTATTCTCTTTGGGCTTTCCTGACCATTCCTGAACATCCTTCTGTATACAACCTGTGTCACGCTGTCACATTCCCACGATGTCAAGTACTGCCCATATCCAGAGGAATCCCAAATCTTGACTTCCAGTCCCCAAGTGGCAGGCCTAAACACTCATTCTGGTCATTCCACAGGTCTGTCAAGCTCACCAAATCTAAAACCTTATCCCCAAACCCACTTTTCCTCCTGGCTTTTCATCAAATCAGAAATCTAAGAGTCATCCACCACTCTTCCTGCCTCATCCCCTTACTCCACATCTCATCAATTTTCCCTCCTAAATGACTTTTAAGTCTGCACCCTACTATTTCTTAGCCAATTATTTTTGTTGTTGTTTGACATGGAGTCTAGCTCTGTCACCCAGGCTGGAGTACAATGGTGTAATCTTGGCTCACTGCAACCTCCGCCTCCCAGGTTCAAGCAGTTCTCCTGCCTCAGCCTCCTGAGTAGCTGGGATTACAGGTGCGTGCCACCACATCCAGCTAATTTTTGCATATTTAGTAGAGACAGGGTTTCACCATGTCTGTCAGGCTGGTCTCGAACTCCTGACCTCATGATCTGCCCACCTCAGTCTCCCAAAGTACTGGGATTTTTCTTTATCATCTCTCCTCATCTTATCAATAACTTCTTACCTAATGTTCCAGCCTCTACTTCTCCACTGCTCCATGGTTGTCTTTCTATAATGCAAATTTGAATTTGTCCTTAAAATTCTCCAAGGGCTGCATAAGCATAAGCCTCTTTGGCATGGCATTGAAGTTCTCTCTAATCTATCTGCTCCCATTGCCATTTTCCACCACCCTCCACCCAAATGCACCTTATATTTCAGTTTTCACAAACCAAGACTGCCATACCTCTGCATGTTTCCTTGCTTTCTCCGATCCTCCTGTCCCTGGCTTCCTAGCTAATACTGACTGAGGGCTTTCCATGTGTCTGATACATGGAAAGCCCATGACACATACTAATTTATGTAATCCTCACTGTGTCACATACTAACTCATATAATTCTCACTTCTACCCTATGAGCATGCCCAGTTATTACGCCCATCCTACAAAGGGGAAAACGGAAGCACAGAGAGATTCAACAATATGCCTAAGATTCCCTAGCTAGGCCAGGCGCAGTGGCTCATGCCTGTAATCCCAGCACTTTGGGAGGCCAAGGTGGGCAGATAACTTAAGTTCAGGAGTTCAAGACCAGCCTGGCCAACATGGCGAAACCCCGTCTCTACTAAAAGTACAAAAATTAACCAGGCATGGTTATGCATGCCTGTAATTCCAGCTACTCAGGAGGCTGAGGCAGGAGAATTGTTTGAACCCTGGAGGCGGAGGTTGTAATGAGCTGAGATCGCGCCACTGCACTCCAGCCTGGGCAACAAGAGTGAGACTCTGCCTCAAAGAAGAAAAAAAAAAATAGATTCCCTAACTAGCAAGTAGTAGAGCTGGGATTTGAAATCCTGTAGTCTGGCTACAGAGTCTGTTCTCTTGACTGCCACATTATATTTCCCACCAAGATGTCAGTACTCAACTCAAAGACCATGTTCTCTATGATTGTCTCCTGACCTGATCCTTGGATTCCAGCAGTTAGGCAAGTTTCTCTCCCTGCATTTCTCTTGACACCTTACATGTACTTCTGTTATACTTATGATATCATATGATAAGCATTTGCCTACATGACCATCTCCCCTGCCGGACTGCACTGCTTAAGGTCAGAGGCCTGGTTGCACAATTCTTTGGGTTTTCAGTGTCAAAGTGAGTGCCCAATATATATGTGCTGCATAGTCAGAGTGGGATAAATTAATGAAAGGAAAGAGTTATGTAACTGATGTCTGTCTTAAGACAGTGCCTATATTGTTTGTTATTGTAAAGGAATGCTTGTCCTCCTTGGCAGATGTATGTTATACCATATGGTCAGATGGTAAATGTAGTAGCAACTGTATCCATTACTGTACTTCCTGGCTCAGTACTGAATATGAAATGGAGAATTATTACTCAATCGTCGTGATTGGGTGAGATAAACATATTTGTTAAAATTGTCCTGATTATTTTTTAAGTGGAAAAGCATCCTGAAGATAAAGCATAAATTACAATATTTAACAAAATAATATTAACTAATATGCTCATATTACTTGTTTGTCATGTTTCAGATATTTAAATGAAGGCTTTGAGTTTTTTCAAGTACAGGAGTTCTAATGACTTTTCCATAGTAACAATCTCAGTACAATAATAAGAAATAAGATGGAAACCTCTAGCCAAGATTGACTATCTTGTCTCTGTATCTCTCCTCTTCTCTCTACCCCCTCCCACCCCCAACACATACACACACACGCCCTCTCACTGTATACCTAGAACGATGAAAAACTTAATACAGCGCTCATAAATATGTAAATACTTGTTGCCACAGAAGCTTAAAATTTCATATTAAAACATAATATTCACTGATAAAATAGTTGCAGTTCTGCTCAAGGAAACATGTAAAAGTGAGGATTTCATACTTCTAGAATCTGTCTTTAGCAGAAAGAGCAGAAGTAATCTGA